GCTATTTGGCGCCTCCAGACTTGGGGGTTTGGGATTTTAGGGTTTTAGGGTTTAGGGTTTAGGGTTTAGGGTTTAGGGTTTAGGGTTTAGGGTTTGGGGTTTAGGGTTTAGGGTTTGGGGTCTAGGGGTCTAGGGGTTTAGGGTTTGGGGTTTAGGGTTTAGGGTTTGTGGGTTTGGGGGTTTAGGGTTTAGGGCTTTAGGGTTTTTCGGTTTAGGGTTTGCGTGGAATATGATAAATGGTAGGATAGGCTTCTTCTTTTTCCAGAGTCTCCCTTAAAGGGTACCATAGGGTTCTATACCGGGGTCCCCCTTTAAAGGTTCGGAGGGGTTCCTAGCAACGTTCCACAAAGGGCTTACAGTAAGGGTTTAGTGGTCTCGGAGTTCAGACTTTGGGACTTGTATAGGTCTTTAGGGCTTGAGGGTTTAATAGGCTGTTAGGGTTTAGGGTTTAGGGTTTAGGGTTTAGGGTTTAGGGTTTAGGAAGAGCCGTTAATGTTGAAGCGATCCCGACGGAAGCTTGGACCATCGGAGTGAAGACTTCCTGGTCAAAACGCACATGGGTAGTTCTCTAAACTGGGGTCTCCTTTTTGGGCCCCCACTTTAGTACGGCACCCTCATAACATGGGCCCTAAAAGGGACCCTAATTTAGAGAACTACCCACATACGAAACCGGACTTGTCGAACGGACGCGCCCCACATTCTGAACCACCAAACCCCTGAACCATACTAGACCCCCGCCCTCAACCCCTCAACCCCAGGCAATAACGTTTGATGCTCAGCAAACTGGCTTCCAGCAGGCCCCGACCCGGAAAATTTGGAACTCTCATCGGAGATTTCTGGAACCCCGCACGGAACCCTATACAGACCCGCAAACCTCTCCGAAACCCGCGAAGCCCAGCGCAAGCGCCTAAACCCTAAACCCTAAACCCTAAAGCGCAGCCTCTAAGACCGCGAAGAGGAAGCGCCGGGAGCACAGAGAGGTGGCATTGCAGGCTGCGCACCAGCCTGCAGGTCCTGAACCCAAAGCTTGGTTGGGTTTAAGGTTTAGGGTTTAGAGTTTAGAGTTTAGGGTTCAGCAGCTCCGGATCGAGCAGTTTTAAAGTAAAGTTACATTCACGATCTAGACATAATACCAACCCACCCTCGATTCCCACAACATTGGAAAATGCAAAGTT